GTGCCCACCTTTCGTGTTCAGGTAACAAGGCTGGGGGTTGCTCTCAGGAGGCTTAGGGTGCTATCAGTTTGTTGTGCCAGATGCCAAACTTGGACATTGCTAGGCTGTAACTTAGCGCCCCACGGATGCAAAGGCCCAAAGCAAGCAAATGAACACCCCCCATAGATCACCTGCCCCAAGATAAATCGCAGTAAAGCGCTGGGTGTGCACAAGTTAATTCCTGAAATGCTCCATTCTCCATTTTTACTTATTCTAAGGATTATTCCTGGGAAGACCACGGCTATTCCTTGGTTAATCGTCTTTACCCAGATGTGGGACAACTACTTGATGAGAAGTTTCACATTGCTTATAATCTGACTTACAACACCATGGCCATGCACAAAGATGTGGATACCTCAATGCTACGACGAGCTATTTGGAACTATATTCATTGTATGTTTGGAATAAGGTCAGTTTTACTGCTTTTGTTCTAAGCAAACACATCAGACTTCTTAGCGCTGGCCTTTTGTTCTTTATCAGATTGAAGCAAAGTTATTTATAGCAAAGATGCAGGTATTTTTAAACATAATTTTGTCTGTGGGAGAGGGACAGAGGTACAAATTACACAGTAATTTATTTTGCCATAGGAACTTAAAACCACTGCAAGTGAAATAACTTGGCCTCGAAAATGAAAGTGTTTTTCTTTCTTTCTGAACAGATACGATGATTATGACTACGGTGAAATTAATCAGTTGTTGGACCGCAGCTTTAAAGTTTATATCAAGACTGTGGTTTGCACTCCTGAAAAGACCACAAAAAGAATGTATGATAGCTTCTGGAGGCAGTTTGAACACTCTGAGAAGGTACGGTTTGCATATGGGCCATAGGTCCACTTGCCACACTTAACAGCCACAGCCACCCAAGTAGCATTGAGGCTTTTAGCTGGTGTTAATGGGATTCTGCTCACATCCAGTAAATTCTTCAGGAGCTATAGTACTTCCTAGGCCGAAATAATTTATTTCCTACTGCATATTTGCTAGTGAACAGCTGACACAGACTGCACAAGCTCTGAACTGTATGGGAGGATAAACATGTTAAGTGGCACAGCGTTCCCCTTGGCTGTTGGCTGGCAGCTCCTGTGCCCCAGAGAGGCTGCAAGGTGAGGTGAGGCTCTCAGACCCAGAGCAGCCACCATCCTGGCCCAGGGTCCTTGCAGTCCAATGGTTGTTTTTAGTCTGAATGGCCCCAAGCTGTTACTTCATGTTAAAGCCTAAAGTCCTGCTGCTGGGTTACAGTCTGAATTGCACCTCCCAGAAATATGTTGTGCTGTTAACTCTTGGACATCAGCTCCATCAAGTTCATATCCTCCAGCTCTTCTTTGGAAGAAAAGCCCCGCTTAAAAATGAATGCTGATAAGTGCTGAGACATACATGTGCCTTAATCAGTGCTCATATCATTGGAGGCTCTATTTCTTGCTAAACTTGTGAAAATAGTTTAGAGGTACCTGGTAGTAATAGGGTATTATAACCACGCTGATTTAAGGTTGTTCAAGTGAAATACTATATGTTTGCTTTGGTTAGACTGAAAGCTTTTCAAGCACACAAATCCGTGTTTAAAGCCCCAAACTTTGGAAAGCCATCAAAATCCAAAGATCATACACATACGTGTCACTGAATGCCATCACCATCCATCCTCATGGAAGGCAGCACACGCAGCCATTCCATGCCACAACAAACTCACAGCTGACCTGCTGTCAGTGAGACAGTATTCTTCACCTTCTTCCCCACATGGTTTCTGATCTCATCCTCAAAGAAATACAGTAAAGACATGGAAGAGATGAGCTGGGGAACTTACCTCCAACAGCTGCTGTCTCAATAAAGACAATCATTTTATGGCATGTTATCTTGTGCTTCAACTCAGCTCACCACTCCATCCTGTTCAGGTGATAATTACCTGTGTGTTTCTCTCTGTCCCACAGGGGCAAACGACCTTACCACCTCCTCCTTTGTTAACAACCCCCTCTGCTCCACAGGTACCAACTACCCTTTTGCCTATAATTGATTAACTTTTTAGCTAAATTTGACCAATTATTTCCAAGCTGTGCACAATCTGCTGCTGCAGAAGGGCTTGTGTGTTTGAAAGCTGCTCTGTTCTTTCCAGCTAAACCAGTTGGTCTGTTAAAGGGGACTGCCTCTTCCTGTGACCCTGCCTCGCTTAAGGGTCTCTGTGACCCGATACAGAAATGTTTGCTCAGTCTTTGCTCCCTCAGCAAGCTTTACAGATAGAACTAATCTGGGTAGCCAAAACACAAAGCGCTGCCCCACTGCTGCTGCTAATAGGAAACCCACAGCCCCAAAGCCGTCCTTTCACTGTGAGCACACCGTTAAAGTGCAGCTTGTTTTCTTTCCTAAAGGTCCATGTAAATTTGCTTCTGGTAGAAGCTCGGATGCAAGCCGAACTACTTTATGCTCTGAGAGCTATTACTCGCTATATGACCTGATATCTCCGGCTGCCTGTTGATGTTGGAATGTTCTGCAGCTGCAGCGTGGTGGAGGAAGATATGAAGCCTCAGGACCAATGGTAGCTCTAAGTTATGAAGCCCATTGTGCCATAACTCCTTTAGTTTCAGCTATTTCCGTGTTTGGAATATCACTGCTGCTGCTCGGCAGTGAACGCTTGGCAGTTGAAAAAACAGGGGTGTGTGGCAGTGCTGCCTGCTCCTGATATTTTGGCTTTAGACAGCACAGGACTCCCTGTGAACTTGTGGCAATATAGCAAACGATAGATGCATAGATCTTGTGTTAAGGCAAATACAGTGGGAGTTGGAGCGTGAACAAAGTGGGACTTGATGACATTTGCTTTCCCTATGAGAATAATTTTAGAAAAATCTTGATGCTGCTATTTGTGCTGGTGAAGTGAACAGCCCCGGGCTGTTCCAGTTAAGCTACAAGTGAAAGTGAGCACTGCTATTGTCTGAGCCTTCGTTTTGTGTGGTTTCAAAAAGCCTTGTTATTTAGATTTCTTCTTTAATCAGAACGAAACCTCTTCTGTCCACACTGATCATTTGAAAGACAGCAGTCAGTTTTCTCAAATAGTTTAGCCTTAAAGTGCTAAGGGACAGCTGCCCAGCATAATGTGGTGAGCTCCAAAGTGCAATGGGCTTCCTGTGGGAAGCACGGGACTCGTGTCCTCAGAGCTCTCTCGAGATGGAACTGCGCTAAGTGTCGAGTGGCTCCTCATCCTGTTTGTCAAGGATGAACCAAGGAGGAGCTAGGACAGGTGTGGGAATGTGTTCTAGGCTGCCAAACAGTCCTAATGTATTATGTGCCCAATGCTGGTCTTACTGATTTTTGCAGTTGCTTAAATAACTAGGCTAAACCCATCTATTTTTAGCAAATCAAAACATGATTACAATGCTGACGTTTAATACACCGTGGGTTTTGGAGAACACATGAATACTTTTGTATGAGTGTGAATTGCTTTTTAAATTTGTCAGTATTACTGGTATTTTTTAAATAAAGGTAACAACTTTTTCTCCTGGCGTTTCTGCGTGGTTGAACTTTGCACTTCCGTTCTTGCTGGTATGCTCAGAAACTGTTCGGAGACATTGTAAACTGTTGGTAACTGAGGAAACATACTGAAAATGGCAAAAGGATATTTTTTGCAGTTGAGTCTAAAATGATGGGAGAAAACCCAGTTTAAAAAGAACATAATTTCAGTGAAGACCTAAATCTATACTATAGTGTTTCCATGCTTCCCATAGTCCTCCACCCTGTGTAGAGGAATACTCTGTCATACTGGGTTTTCTCTTTCCTCCCGGGTAATAGGCAGAGATTACATCTGTATATTTATATAGTCACCTATTTTCAATAACCAGCTCTAAATACTATTTTAAGAATTGAATTAAAGTGATTTTAAAATCCTCTTGTAGTGAACTTAGCTCCATCTTTGGCTGCTGATTTCCATAGCCTGGTGCCAGAAGGGCATCTGCCATTGGAAGGACAACCAGGTCTGCACAGCTAGACTGAGGATTTTATGGCAAGAGGTAACAGGCAGCAGGAGGAGGGTTTGCCACAGGTGAGTGACAAAGCCTTTTGGACACACTCCTACTGCTGGCTGTGATGGGGGTTACCCTCTAAGTGTAGAAACCCCACCTGCTTACAGTAAGGAGTGTTATCCATAGGGCAGGAAAGAAACAGATTTTCCCAAGTCCACCAGCAGAATGAAATTAAGATTCCTGTCCCTTGGCCTGCTTCTCAGTGAGCTCAGACTGGTTGCTCTGAATACAGAACATTCTGAGAACAGTTTTAAGTTTACAGTCCAAGAAGCTAAAATATCTAAAAAGATCTAGGGGAGAAAGATTAATAAACTGTCAAAAAATGTGACTAACAGGAAGCATCTGCTGTTTCCTCTTAACTAAAAATACAGGATTTTTAATGTTCCACAGCCAGAGCAAAACTTTCCTGTGTAAGGCCACAGCATAAAGCTAAGCTCTGCCTGCCTAAGGACACAGTGTCTCTCCAGTCTGTAGGTGGAGTTTCTGAAACACCTGATTCTCCGGTTGCTTTTTGGGGGTGGTCAAAGGTTGACAGGAAATTTTCTGAGAAGCCTGAACTGGCTGTTTCTGTCCTGTGCTATCCAGGCAAATGCAGGTACCTGCAGACACACTCTGCCTTCTCAAGCAGCGAACACTGCAGCATGTGTGTGCCAGTGGCTTCATACGGTCACATTTTCAACCGCAGCAGTAACCACAACCTGCAGCCAACCCTAACTACACACCATGCTACTTACTTTGGAGAAGGGGCCTGAAGATGGTTGGGCATTTTCCATGCTGAGGCATTTGTGGTGCTAAGCAAAAGAGACCAAGCCAAAGCTGTTAAGTACAGTGGCAACCAAAGTCAGTGGGGTTAGTCTTTAAACAAGAAAGGGTTGAGTTGCCAGATGCTTCATGAGTGGTGATCACTGCAGACAGCAGCAGCTGTGTGTGACAGAAGGGCAGGAGGGAGAAGCCACAGCACTGCTTTGGCCACTGGTGTGGGCTGCCCTCCCCTGCAGGCTATAAGCCCTGATGACTACCAAGCAGCTCTTACAGAGCCTCTGCACCACTCCCAAAACCAGGACCATGAAATCTCTCCTCCCCTGTCCCATCAACAGCAAAGAAGTCCCTGAGAAGCAGGGATCTAAACTACAAAGAAAGTTTCCCTGCCCTTCTACCACAGTTGTGTTTCCCAGCCTCCTTGCTTCATCTCCTCACCTGGAAGCAGAGCAATGTCAAAGGTACAGCAGTGCCACTGAGGGAGCTCCAAATCGCTGCCTCAAACCAATTCCTCCAGCCTCTCTGAGGGCATTGCCAGGGGAAGACTTGCACTCCTGACACACACAGCACAACACGAGGCTGCTGACCCTCAGGATCACAGCCAGGAGCCCAGCAGCCCCTGCTCAGTGGTTTGTTCTTAGTGATCTGCGGTCAGAAAAGAGGCAAATGGGTCAGATCCGTGAAGCTTTCTCTAGCCAGTCAGGCTGTTAATGCTTGAGGCCAGTGATGCACCTGCTGAGCAACACAATTACACAAGCAACAAGCAGGGACTTCTACACTCTGAAAGGATGAAAACTGAGCAGTAAGACAGCATCAGTCAGAAGGAACGTGAAGGATGCAAAGCCTTTTCGTGCCCTGTGGATGGAAACATAAGCCCAGGCGAGATGACTGGCCAAGACAGTCTGACCAGTACAGGCACACAGGCCTGGGAAGGTGGGAAGCAACACACCAGACTACCTAAAAATCCCCACTTACATCAAGGACAGGGGTGTTTTGCCTTAAGGCTTGAAGTCCCAATTCAGAAAAACCTCTTTCCAACACAGCTGGACCTACATCCCACAAACACCAAGGCAGGAGCTAAGATACCCGAGCCACACGGTATCAGGTAGAGAAAGGGGGATTTTGCAAAAAAAAGGAAGCAGCTTTCCCCCTGGCCATGGATAGCACTTGATCTGGAGAACGAAGCTCAGGATTTAAGAGCAGAGTGCCCCAATAGCATTTGGGTTACTCTTGCTGGAGAATTCATAGAAAGTAAAAATGTGTCAAAGCCTGTAGGCAAGCTGCGATTCCAAGCATGTAACACACTTTTACAGTGCACAGCATTTTTGGTACCACAGAGGCCCACTGGTACCGCTCAGTGGTAATTTACCTTTTAAAAATGAAACGTTCAGCAAATAGTTTCATTTCATTTTCCCAGCCAAGAAACTATGCAATTAATAGATCACACTGAACAGCTGCTTCATCAGCTTAAATACCTTGTAAAAAGTAATTACACATGCAAAAACTGGATGCAAGCTTCTCAACAGGTAGGATCCAGTATATAAATGCCAGGCTTTACTGACTTCTTAAAAATTAAATTGCTACGCTGTCCAACACACTTACCAATGGCAAAGTACAGGTATATTAGAAATGTAAAGCTGGTCAATCTATAGCACCAAAAAAAATATGACTGATTAAAATGGAGTAGTAGCCAGTCACAGCTGGAAGGACTGATGATTCTGAATTCTATCAAGAAGTTTTTCTGCCACAGGCTTGAACTCTCTTTCCCAATACAGTTTGTGGTAGTCCCTTACATCTCCATCGAGGCTGTAATCCAGCGCTAGTTCTGCATCTGTAATCAAAGAAAATATCATCAGCAGTTCTGAGTAAAAATATACCCAACTATGTATTTTATGGCCACAGCACATTACAACTTAGCATTTCTGTTACGTTGGTGGATTCAAGACAACTCCATGTGGAAGACAAACTAAGCATCACTATCTGAGGGACTTGATTTAAAGGATGCTAAGGTCAGTAACACGCTAAAAAGGAGGCTGCAAGTTCTTATTATTCTCACACCTCACAGGTGTAGCTAAACTGTATCCCCAGGATCAAGCATTTACTGTGGCTGTCAGCCTGGAAACTACCGGAGTTTTAACATCACCCACAGCAATTTTGCTAATGTAAGCGATCAGTTCATCTGACTACAACTATGTTTTTCTTATCACAAATTGCTCTGCTAATCTGGTTTATTAAGGCTTTGAAATTGTATTTACTATTATACTTAAAAAACTTAACCACACTGGTTACTGTATCACTGATGCCCTCTCTTCCTCACAAACTTCATAATTAAAGTAGTAGGATACTCTTAAGGGATAAGCCATGTTAGGAATGACAGGAGGTCATCACTCGTTATTCCACATCCATTTCACCTGGTATTGGATGAAACACAGAAACAAACCCTTCCTGAAAAGAAGAAACCAGTCGGCAACCCGGAGCTTGCTCCTGACTGATAACGCTGAACAAATGTTTTCATACAGTTTAGGAGAAGGCTATTTGACAACCTTAAGGCCATAAATGTACCTAAAATGAAGATACAACCCTGCACCCAAGGGGCAGTGTGACTTACCTTTGTTCTAGACTGTGAATCTGTTCAAGAAATAATGCTGTAAAGGGAGCTCACTGCACACTGAGAGCAGGTAAAAGACAACTCTGAAGATAAAATATGGGAATCTTCAGCTCCAAGTTTAAGTCAAACTTTGTGTAGAAGACAGATGCTCAAACAGCAATTATCCCCATTTAAGCAAATGCCAAGGTGCCTATGCAGAGCACATGGCCTGAGCTGCCACAGCTATGAAGGAAGAAATGATGTTACTTTGGCATAGAGATGGGCTCCATTCCACAGACAGTTACCAGTAACTGCAAACAATACATGACTTCTATGCCACTACAGTGTTTCTAAATGAACAAAATTAAAGAGATGCTGATTGTGAGGTAGGTTCCAAAAGGGGTTCTGCATAAGGAGAAGATGCCATATAGAGGATTTCTGTGAAAAAGAGGAAAAAAAAGTATTTCAAGAAAGAAGACATGTCTTACCTCTGCAGGAAGAAACCCTGTAATCAGAGATAAAATCCAACCTCAGATATGAAATCTATATTTGATATATCATTGGTCCTGTCCAACCCAAATTATCCTCTGTACCAGAGCCACCATAGATCAGGTTGCTCTGGTCTACGTACTGTTGAGTACTGAGTAACCTCTGAGGACGAAGATTCCACAGCCTTTCGGGGCAGCAAGTAACAGTGCTTGGCCCCTGCCATGGTGGAAACTTCTTTTTGCTAATATTTAATTGGAATTTTTCTTATTGCAACTTGTGCTCCAGTACCTCTGGTCCCATTTAATGGCACCACCCAACATACCTAAAATGAATCTCAGCAGCAGAGAAGTGAGAGGAAGAAGAGGAAGATAAAGGATTATGGGTTTTGTTTTCAGGGAGAATTGCTTTGCCTACTCCTGAAATGATTGTTCTAGCCAAAGTAACTATCTTCTAACATGGGGCAAAAGACATTACTTTGAATTACATTGAATGTTTATGGAATCACTGAGGTGAGGAATTCTAGTCTACCAGAACACGGGTCAGAACCAGTTCAAAAGCTGAAGTGTGGAACCAAAACAGTATGTCTATCTCCTAAAGTAGAATGAAAGTAAGACGGGATAGGTGAGGCCCAGTGCCCCACATCTAAGCTGTGCATCCTCAGATAATTTAATTTTCCCACGACCCTCCTCCAAACTAGCAAAATTGGGTACTGGCCAAACAGCATATGAACTGGCTGTGAGCCCAGGAGCGAGACAAGCACACGGGGTCTGCACGCTATGAGGGAAGCACAAAGCCAGAGTACATGCTGCCTGCTAGGGCTACCCATCCCTGTAACTCTGGCAAGACAGGGGCCAGGAAGCCCTGGAAGTCGGTATCCTGCCATGTAGGAGTTCATGTGTACTGAGATTCCAAAATAAACCCCTTGAACTGCTAGTGCAAGTACAGGTGGACAGAAGAAAGGTCTGGAAAAAAGAGAGGTAGAAAGGAGATTTCGCTGAACAACCGAAGAGAATAATGTTCTCAAGACAGAGCTCATCTCCACTGCCACTCCTGAGGGACAGGGGCAAAGCAAAGCTGCTGCCAGGGGCCTGGAAACACCAGCCTGCAGCTGTGAAACTCAAAGGCAGCTGAAAGAAGGCAAATGATAGTGCCACTGGAAAGCAGTGCCACAGCATCTCAGCTGCTGGGACCAGACAGGAAAAAAGAAAAACAAAGGGTGCCTTTTTTCCTGCCTTTCTTGGGCCCAACATCTTTTGAAGCTATTTTCCACTCCCTTTTGGCTCCCTCGTATCTTTTGTCATCTTGTGCCAGGTAGGGGAAAGGAAAACAAAGGGGATGAGGCCAAGCACAGCAGGTGAAGTGAGGTGTCTGCTGTGCCATGCTCCACTTTTTCCGTTTCCTAAGGGTGTGCTGATGCTTAAGTACAGTCCACTGACTGTCAGCAGTTGCCTCCTGCTTCCTGAATGATAGAATCAGAGCAAAGACAGTTCAAGGCTGTTACTTGATACAATGGGAGGAGGAAGATGTAGGACAATATTAATCAGCTGCTATTACTAAAATTTGTTGGCTCTTAACACATAGAAGAACCAGATGTAGTAAGATGCACTTTTTCTACAGCTATTCTTCAGAGCAGTGTGAAGACAGACTTGCCTTCTCATTTAATTGTGACCTACTTTTAATTAATTGTCATTACGGTTGCATTACAATTGCAACTGCAATTCTACATGAACTTCCAGTTCACTAAAGCTGTGCCAGTTAATGAGACTTCCAATTACTACCCAGCCTAGATTCTGCAATCAAATTAACTGCTGGAATAAGCAGTGTTAAATGCAGAGAGAAAAATAAGTAAGAACTTTCCCGGACAAAGGCATATATTTTTTGCTGCATGCCAGAAAATTCAAGCATGACTGTGGCTGTAAGGTGTGCAGTTCTGTTTCAGAATGTTAAAAAGTGCACTAATGATCTTGAAACACAGGATTTTCAGATAAATAGATGGAATTACTGGTCACATTAAGATACGTTCCATCAAAGCAACGAATGTAATGCAAGGAAAGATTACAAGAATAACAGTAATTCTGGCCGCACAAATCCACCCACTTTTCTGATTGTCTAGAACCAAACCAGACCACTGGGATTTCCCTTTCTGTCTGGGTCTGACTAACACACAGCCTTCTCCACAGCAAGCATACATACATCTTCATTAAATTTCCAATTAAAATAAAATCAAAATTAGTTAAGGTTCGCTTCAATTTCATTTACATTTTAAAGATCTTGTTCTAAAAGATAATTGCAACTGACCTACCCAAAATAAAATCATACCCAAAGCAGCGCTCATAAAGGAGAAAAATTGCGTATATAGTGACTATATAGAACTATTACATAGCAATTAAACTCTGTAAAATTTGAAGCAAACACAAATGTGCAGATGAAAAGATCCAAGTGCGTAAGCAAATCAGGGTCTTAACATTCACTTGTCGGCACCTTCCAGCCTGTGTCTGTAAAGAGGCACAGCCTCCCTTGCTTTAGGGAGCAGATGAGACATTCTCAAGATGTTGTCCTTCCCCACAAGGAGATGATGATGGGAAAGGAGGGCAGCCAAGGGGCTGAGCAGCAAAGCTCAACCTGTTTTACCACTGAGCCCTTAGGCTGAGGGGAAAAGCCACATTCCCTGTGCATGCTGTGCGGTAACCAGGTGCATCACAGCTGAGCCCCCGCTTCTGTCAATACCTGCAGTGCTTTGAGGCCAGAAGGGCCCACACATCCAGTGAAAAGTATCTTTTGCACTGAAGGTTTATGGGATAGTTGGCTCAAGCAGGCAAAAAGGCAGCTGGTGACAAGCATTAGCAGCATGCTAACTAGACAAACTATAGCGGGGAGTGACAACAGCCAATTCCACCTTGGCAATCCGTAAGTTCTGGGGGAATGTGCTGAATTGCAATGAACCAGTGTACTGCTGGATAGTCGACACCAGCCAACCACTTAAAGCTGCATGACAGACTTCCCACCCAAATGAATACTGCCTTGATTTTGCTCTCTTTATTTCCTTTATTAAGGAAAAGAGACCAAGATTATGAATCTCACCTATGAGTGATGTGAGCAGCACCAGCAACGTCTCAGTATCTTCTCCAAAGCATGAGGCCGAACTTGTGGTGCTTTCACTATAGTTCCACAGGGTTTTGCATATCAAACAAGCCAGCTGCCAATCTGATGGCCCAAAGTCTTGTAAACAGTCAACTAACCTGTTGGTATAAAAAAAACCAAACCCAGTGTTTTGCTCCATGTAGTTTTCCTCTAAGCCCTTCAAAATCTGGTAGTCTAAAAATGTATGCAGACTCCACGAAAGTTTGCAGGAAAATTCTCTATTAATAAACTTAAGATGCTACTTTCTCCCTCAGTAACTTCTCCTTTCCATTTAGTCTAGCTCCCTAGGGATGTGAACGTGCTTTTTGTCTACACATATGTGCATTTGCCTGCCTGCATCTGTCTACCCCCCAGAACATTTTAACCCAACTGAGCAATTCCAATCACACACATCACAAATGTAACCATTTCAAAGACACTAAAATTCTATCAGATTTCATGACTATCTGTAACCGTCCCAAATCCATGGCTACCAGTAGAGCAGAGACTGCAATGGGAGCCGAACCTCATGAGGTGCCAAGAATTCATCTGCAACAGACAGTATGAATGCAGAAAAAGCTTTGGTCAGAATATCCAGTTTATTACACATCAGAGGATCTGACCAGAAGACAAATCCAAAGGAATTTACTACTTCCATGACTCCCAGAATTACCTTTAACATTCAGTGAAGCCTGACTGTTCTGCAGATCTTGCCCTTTATTGTATTTCCTCAACATGTGCTCCTCCCCTCCACTGGGAATGCCAGTTTTATTAAGGACCATTAGGTTCTTGACCTTTCTCCCAGTCTCATTTCCTTGCAAGTACCAAATGCAGGCTAGATGATAAGCAGGACTCTGAAATGAAGCTGTAACTTTTCTGCCTGCACCAGCTATCCAGAATTCCCATTACCAAACAGCAGTGTTCACAAGTCCCAGGGCAGCAGAAGTAAATGTTTTCACTTGCTGTCCCTAGTGACCTCTCATAATAGTAACCCTTCACTGCTGCTCTCTTCCCCAACCCTATGACCTTCTCTTTCTACTTCACTGTGAGATTTATAATCTGGTGATTAGTAAAGGGAACACAGAATAACTATTACATTCGGGTATGGATGAAAATAGCAGTAATTGAAAAGCAACCAAAAGAGGTTTGCTCTTTCTCTCCTCTCTGAAGGCAGTCACTGTGGAAGACCGGGAGGCATACAATGAAAAGCCAAATGGATTTGCCCTATTACTTTTTTTTTAAGTTTAACTCTCTGATGAGACTAATTCCATGTTTTATTAGGGCCACCATATATTAATACAATAACCTCATTTTCAAAAATCCACAGAGCGAGTTTGGCATAGTCAGGGTGACCTCCTTAACAATCACTTCCAAATTCTCTAGATTTATTTCGTAATGTTTCTTTTTCCGCCTTCCTGCTTCACGAATCTTCAGAGAGAGTACAGAAAATTCTCTATTCTGCAGAATATAAATCTCTCACATTTATTATTCATTTGCCTCTAGCATTTTTATTCTTCTTTTTCAGCTTTATATTTGACCTGGTAACTAGAACATGGGAAGGGAGGATGAGCATACTATGCATAGTTTATATTGTAATAAAAAGTAATTATATGATGTATGAACAAGAAAGCATTTCAAAGTTAGGCATATGGTTGCATAAACGTAAGTTGTATCAACTACTTTACAAGCACAGAGACATGATCATTCACGTTGCTCCAATTAAGCTGGATCCGCTATTATCTGAACATCAAGGCCACAAGTGTTCCATCCACAGTGGGTTTTCAAGACCTAATACCTCTTATAATACAAGCGCCTTAACCTTGAGTTATTCTGCTGAGCATGGCTACATCAGGTAGTTTTCCCTACTATACTAAGTAGTTACAAAAATTGCCAGTGACCATATGGTATATCCTAGTTCCTGAAGTAATCTTCACGCTTACAACAGATGATACACATTAATGGTGCCTATTAACTGTAGCCCACATAGGATCCAGTTAAGTCAAGCATGAGCCATGCCTTAGTTGCTTTGTTGTATGGTACTCTCCTCTGCTGTATCAATCAGGAGGATTATTGGGAGATTTATTCTATGGGGTTTGGCTCTGCGTAGGCTAAACCATTCTAATACTTTTGAAAAAAAACATAGGAAAAAAGATGAAAGGCTCTTGAAGAGTGTTAGATGCTGACGATTTATTTAGTATACGTCCGTATTAGAAGTTATTTGCCCCAGTAAAAAAAAGAATCTGATTGAAACTCTTCAGCCAAACTAGTCAAAATTGCCTTTTTCATAAACATAATCAGGAACTTACTTTCCAATTCCTCCTTCCTCCATCAGAAATGCTCGTTTGTTCTTATCTACTGTGAGATTGAGCAGAACTCCACAGGCAGAAAAACAGACATCTTGCTTTTTGGCATCAAGCAAAGCAATCATGAACTTGTGTACTGTATTGTAAAGGAGGAGACAGTATTACTGGAAAGATGGCATTACAACATCCTTATTAAACATGTATACTCAGAAAGCAGTCAAATGCAGGGTGCCCTACCCAAAAATTTAACCTTGTAGCATACTACTGTGACATTTGTAGAGTAGGCACACAACCCATTGTAACAGCCATGATTATTTCATCATGCTGAACACCAGTTACCTTCAATACAACACATACAGAGTCATATAGTTATAAAAATACACTGACACAATGTGAAAACACAATCAGAAGAGGTTAAATTGACAAAATTAATTACAGCTTATTTCTTAAAAGTATGACCCTCCTTTCAATTCCAGTCAGCAGAAACTGCTGGGATTCGGCATTTGGTACTCCCAGAGGGACATTCTCACCTCTGCAAGTGGCCAGGTTGCCCTACACTGCACCAAGCCCAGCTGGAAGTGCTGCAGCCTGGAGCTCCTGCAGGTGACAGGCAAGAATCAGACACTGGACATGCAGCATCTTGCAGCACTTGCTGACACTGAACTCAGGAGGCAGTGGAAGACAACACCAGCAAGGGAGTCAGTCTTGCCTAATGGAGAGGCAGCCTCTCAGCTGTTCCTCAGCTTGGCACATTGATACCACAGTCCTAGTTGGAAAACTTAGTTCTTTGCCTGAGAGCTCATCAGCAACCAGTTATTGTCAATTTGCCCTTTGCAAATACCTTCTCCTCCAAAGTCAGTAATACGTCCACCCTTCAAAGAAGGAGTTGTGTATCACCTCAATTTCAGCACTGACAGGTATGTAGATACAAAAACATTTACATTGAACTGGTGTTTAATTAAACTTATGACGCACCCTCTGTGGATAGCAAGCAGTTGCCATTTTTCCCAAAGCTCCTCAGATACTCAAAAGCAAAGAGGCTTGAGAAGACTTGTATCCTACTCCACCCAGAGGCAAATAGATCTCTTTGTTGAGACAGTTGAACATCTTAAATGCATATTACGAAGTGCTAACAAGCTGTTGAACTGTGATTATGAGCCTAAATGAGAATTTAGTTGGATTTTCATTTATATCATACCACTACTAACCTGTAGGATTTGAAAAACTGAAGGAGAAAGGGCACCATGGCGTATTTTTCCTCCTCCACTATTTCCGTTCTAATGAAACTGAAATAAAATGGTGTTTATAATGACTGTGATTGGATTCTAACATTTGCCTGATTTGCAAAATATCAGAGAAGATTGCTTCTACACTTGAACTAAGACAGCTTATTAACAATCTTCCCTTTTTTAGAACTATGGACATTTAAAAACAGGACTCCTACAAGTGCAAAAGTAACTCACTCTTTTTCTGTATGATGAAGTCACAGATCTCATGATACTGGGAAAGATTGCCAAATGCTCTGACAGCCTCCACAACTCCATCCATACTGTTGCTCATTAACAGCCTTAAAAGCACTATTGGTTTGCCGAGAAATAAAAAAAAAATTAGTTGTATATCACAAACATGTGCTTGGCTTTTTATCAATAAATACAAAACACAAACAGTAACAGCAATAAATGGGAACAGTTATGTATCGCCTGGTTGCAGTGAAGGGGGTGAGCTGACGGTAGAACAAGAGCTAAATTGTGTAGGGCTTTGAAGATTAGACAAAGAGCTGCAATATGGGGCTAAACGCAAAGGAACAAACGGTGAGTTATGAAGACAAGCCTACACACAGTGGTAATAATGGGAGCCAGTTTTGCTATACAGTTTTGAGTGGGCTTATGTGAAAATCCAGGAAGACAAAGAAGAAAAAAAATGTTGTAATATATAAGAGAATTGATTTAGATCCTGAACAGATGGTCTTATGGTGCAATGTCTCCTAAAACTCAAATTACTCTCTGATTTTAGCTCAATGCTCCTATAACAAGCAAATACATTTTCTCTGAACAGAGCTGCTTAATATTGCCCCTGGTCTGAAGCATTTACTTGCTTGCTGGTTTTCTGCTTAGTAGTTACACATATGACTAGTGTATGTCTTCATATGTCTTCAGCAGATAGAATAAGACCTTCAGTACTTCCTAGAAACAGCTACTATCATGTAGGTTTTTGATGCACAGCAAAGGAGCAGTGTCAGAGGAGTTACATTTATCAGTCTCCTATGAGCATGAAGTGAACCACTGAAACCAGTTTATAGTGTGAATGACTCAAATCAGTCAACCTTTAACTCTTCTACCATAGAAAAGTGAGAGAAAGAAAAATCCTAGGAAAAGACATTCGCTTCGCTCCCGTTATTTCCATCTTTGAATGTTGCAATACTGAACATGCCTTGAACTTGTCTTAAAGAGACATCTGAAATGGTTCCTTTTTTCTCTTTGGGATCCACCATTTGTATCAAACAGCAAGCATTCTCAAAATGTCTCCTGGAGGAGGAAGCCTGCTGGTCTCCCATCAACAGGCTTTCTCTCTCCTCAGTTCAGGCAGAGAAAAGTGAGGGGGCTGTTTCCACAGGCTAACAATAAAAACAGGAGAGGGAGAGCACATGAGACAGGCAGAGAAGTCATTTGTTTCCACATTTCTCCAACTAGCAATGAGAGACAGTTGGCTTAGGGGTGATAAAATGACTCATGACAGAACAGCAGAATGTTACCTAAAGAGAATCTGATGTCTACCAGTCAGGGCACTAGGTTGACAGAATATTTTTTTCCTACTCTTCACGCTACCTGTTGTGCAAATTCCAGGCTCCATCTCTCCCCCATGTTTTGTCTATTTAGAGAGAAAGATATGCAAGACATAGACTCTACCTTCTGTATAACAGTAACACGAGTCCCAGAACTCAGATGCAGTTCCTACACATCACTAAAATACGACTGTTGTCTACTACTGTCAGAGGGGAGAGAATAACACAACTCCTGTACTGCCAATGGATTTATAAGCCAGAAATAGACATAAATCAGATTTTGCAGGTCTAGAAGATACTAAGAAGAAAAAAACCCCAAAACTTTTACTATACTCTGATAAGAAGTAAAAAGCAACATGTTTATTTTGGCACAGGCATATGGGTTTTGAACAAGCCTAGCAAAAATTGCTAAACAGAAAACAATATGGCAAATTCCTTTCAGGAAGAAGGGGTTTTGTCAACAACTTAACCTATTTTCAGACAAGTCATAGAACTATGTTCCAAAAGAATGAAAAATCATTATGGGAAGAGTTTAGCCCTATAAAGTTTATATTCATGCAATATGATACCACAAAACACTAGCAGCGTCTTTATTTCCTGTACTGTCAAAATATTTTCACTTTCAAAAACCTATACATAAAGTACTAATTTAAAAGTCCTTACTTTCAGCAATGTGTAGCTTTTTGTCTTGAACAGCAGAACTCTTCACTTTGTAGTAGGATAAATTGTTGATTGTTATTGCAGCATTGATGACCAACTCCTCACACTCATCAACTGACTTGTATTCTGAGAGTGAAAAAAAAAACCCAACAAACATGAACATACGCATATGCAGATACACAGAGATGAGTCTAACTTAGCTTAGAATTAGCTTAATCTCAGAAGCAAGCTAAATCATAGTTTACAGGGCCACTATTACAGACAACTATTCTGTTTTGCAGTAACATGGCAGAAGCTAATAGGAAGAGCTGATCCAAAAATGGCAATATAAAGTCACTCTTTCAACTCTTAATCCGCAGAAATCATTGTGACTGAGGCAACATGGTTTAGAATCTACTTAGTTAAGACATTTTACAGATTCTATTTTCTATTTTAAGATGGAACTGAGGAGAATCCACATGCAGAAATAGGCCTGTGTGATAGTCACAGACAATACTAAGGACTATACTGAAGTGTCAATGAAAAATTGGAGAAAAAAAAATATCAGTTTTTGAAAGATTCTTTCTCTCAGAGTTCCTAACAGAATGTTAACCAGTATAAAGACTACATCAGCAAGTCTGAAAGTCATGTATACCAATTTATCTGAGGTTTCTGGCCTCAGAAACCAAGAGTGAAGGAAATAAAAAGAAGGTTAAGTTCATAGGCAGAGAGAACATTTGGTAGTAAACCAATACAGTGCTCAAGAAGAGGGGAGGGTGTCAGAGAGAAGCTTTGAGGCTCAAAAGCACTTACACAATGATTAACACAGTTCCAATGCAGGAAGCTCCTACATGGATTAAGACAGAACACACAAAATTGTAAATCTGCCTTCTTTAACTCGCCATGTCTGGTGGTTAAGACTTGTGAGCTAGCATATAATAAGGTTGATTGTCTTTACATAATATTTAATGCTCACGTCTCATCCTAAAATACACTAAGTTATTTGTGATGTATTTTGTCACTGCTAAACTATGGGGAGAAAAGGCTACACAGTCCTAGCCTGTAATTAGATTTACAATGGGATCAGTAAGTGGTAAAGGAACGGCAGTTCTAAGCCTCCGTTTGTGGGGAAAGGGCCATTTTCTTCTGAAAGAAGATAAAGGTTGGAAATTTGAAAAAGAAGAAAAAATAAGAAGAGGCTGAAAGTTATGGGTACAGGGAACAAAAAGAATACTTAATCCAGAACAGTCACAAAACCTGCAAACCTAAAAAAAACCAAACCCATTACCAAACACATCGATGTAGCACCTGTTAAGAACAGACTTCCCTTACATATGAACTCTGAGAGGTGCATTTAAAGTAAAATTTGTTTTCTCCTCCTTAATGATCGTATCTGCAAATCTAATCACAAAATTGAACACTTCTACAACATCTTTCCCCAGAAACTGAAAAGTCAGTAGCAAAGCAGCAATGCCTCCACTGTCTCAAACAGGCTTTCTACATAAAACAGGTTATGAATATCCGCAGATTGACTTTGTTATTTAGCAATGGAACCAATTCAGTTATGGATCAATTTGTGCGTTGATCCATAGTGAAAAGTAATCCAAGAAGGTCAAGTAGAAAAATTCTAAACTCTTCTTACAGACTGAACAAAGGTTACAAACACAACATAGATTTTATTACCTAGTACTGTAACAAGCAATTCTACAACGTGATGGGCAACTGCCAGAGCTGCTCCTATGCTGGGATGAACAGAGACATTGGCCAGCACTCTTATCAGTTTTATCAGAACATCTTCTGCTTCTGAAGGATGCTTTGGTTGTTTTTTTTCTTCCCTTCCTTTTCCTTGGTACCATTTCTGTGTATTCAAATCAAGTTCATGGTAGGTTTGGAATAATGATATCAAGGTGTTAATGCTTCCTTTTTCTTGAAAAAATTGCTCACGGGGCTGGTCATTCTTTGCTGTTAAATTACCAAGAATGAAGAGAATACGGATAACCAAATCCTGCAATAAAACAAAACATATTACACAGAGCACATCAGAAGCTATTAGCTGCTTAAAAAGAAGATACTACTTAATTTGCTTCACAATTCACTTAGTAACAAGTCCAGAACAAGTGAAGGAATGCCAAATACAGCAACTAGAAATAATTTTTATGCTATTTTTCATAAACTGGTTTACAGAAGAAACCAAAAACATCTGACAGAACTAATATAGAATTGGGGTAGATACTAATGGGATATACTTAGCATAGGTCATCTATTTTTACCAAGCCCACAGTAATCCTAAAACATCTTAAACCAGCACTTTATATAACTAGAATAATAATATGGGCCAGACCTTATTAATCTTTCAAGTAAGCAAGTGTTAGTTGGGATGGCCAAAGACCATGACCTTCTCTTCTCTAGTCCTGTTACTCACTGTAGAGGTTAAACTGCTTCCCCTTGATTTATTAAATCCATGTTAGCTCTTACTCATTTTCCTTGTTAAGTCTTACAGATAGCTGAATTATTTGTTCCAGATTTTTACCAGAAATGTAATCTAAATTGACTGGTTTGTTGGACCCCAATTTCTCCTCTTTCCTCTTTTAAAGGAGCCCTACAAACTTGCAATCCTACACAACTTTACAAGAATCCCAGAGACATTACCCTTTCTGTACTTTTATAGCATCAAAGGGTAAATTTCATCAGGCCTAGCTGGTTTGAAGACACTTAATTATGCTCCAGCTCATTTTCTAGTGATAAAAGAACTCAGGCTGAAGTAGAGATTAACCATTTGATCATACTTAACCCCTTCAGAAAAAGAAGCAAAAAAAGGCATTCCACACTTCACTATTCACAGTGGCATCTATCAATAACCATCTGAACACTGCAGCAATTATTTCCTTATTTTCGTCTCTCAATTAATGTACCATATAAAGCTTTTGTGTTTCTTTCTATGTCCCTTTCAAGTTGCATCTCATTTTGTACTTTTTTTTTCTAATGATGATTTTATGTGTTCTTGCTACCCTTTTATTCTTACAATTGCTAAATGAGACCTATTTCTATTTTTGTATGGTATCTCGATCTAATGATTTAACCAAGCTGCTCCCTTAAAGCACTTTCTATCTCTGCCCTTCAGTGGAATACACAATTACATCTCTTGCTGCTTCATTTGGTACATGAATACTGAGAAACAGTATTCAACAACATGCCCATCTTTTTCTTACCCACCTGTACAGAAGAAAAAAATGAAATTTTGAAGTCTGAACTGACCTAAGTATAAACTTGTAAGTTTATAAACATTTGTAAACTTGTAAGTATAAACATTTGCTCTGTCACTTGCATCAAAACTTGCTCATTTCCCAAAAGAAAAGTCCATAGCTTTATTTTAACAGTACAGGTAAAGTAACATTTCTTCAAGTACAGCACGGCCATCTACTCTCAGATGCTAAAGTGCTGTACTTGCACTAACCTAAAATTTCACTAAACAATTCACATGCTGGTTTTCTTCAAATATAATTATATCGACAGATTTTCTAATCCTCCCTGGTATTAACAATGTAACTTAACCAGGCACAGCCTAACTTGTTGAAGTATAGATACTAATATTGAAGGAAAAAAGAGATGTGTCAGCAGTGAATCCTTCTTTCATACATGCCTTTATCAATAAGTTTCAGGTCTTAAGCCTCTGCCACAAGACATCGGCAATAACATCCTCTTAGGTGAGACAAGGAGGCACAAAAGCACAGAATGTAATCAGTTCTAAGTAACGTTAAGTTTGATGGCTTTGTAATGGAAAATAACTGAGATGCTTGAAGATAAACTGTTCCAGTTGACATAGTTTTAGGCCCTTAAGACATTAGTACAAAAAGTGTAAGAAAAACAGGATAGAAAAACAGGACCTGGGGATGGGGAGTATCTGGGACTAGCAGATGTCCAGGATGGGAGCAGTTAAACTAACTGATAAGTCGAACAGGATAATTGCTATGTCTGTAATGTTAATTAAGCTGGTGCTTCAAAGGCTGCCAGAAGCCATGAAGATTGTTGGAAGAAGTAAACGACCCTCAGAGACCACCACCACATTTGTGTACGCATGTGGGAAACTTTCTGGAAAACGATGTGATTCATACGTAGCCTTATGAATATATATGTGTGCCCACTGACTATATCATGATGGCTTGTGTGGCAATACAGTGACACATGTTAGAAGGAGCTATCCCCCGTGTCTCCCGGCGCTGCAATAAAGAATAGCTGCTTGTCAACTTGAAAACTTTGTTGGCGAGTTTGTTCCTGGAGTTTTCTCCAAATCACAGGGTCAAGAAGATGAATGCCATCCCTGAATATGAGAAGCAGGGAGTCGCCTAAGTAAGGAAAAGTTTCTCACTTTCCTGTATTTAATACGGTCATTCCACAGGACCCACTTTTATATTATTTTTACTAGGAACCATATTTTTGCTAGCATCTAAATGTCATCGACACAAATTTCTATGAACATTCTTACTGACTAACCACTAACAGCTTTCACCTTTGCTGGCACAACCCCCAATTCACAAAGGATGTAAGAATTTGAAACAAACAACTGATGAATCAGAAGAAAGAACTGAAAAGAGCAGGCAGTCTAGTTTGACTCGTTTATATTGACTTTCTAATTTTGGTCAAAACAGTATCAACCCAGCAACAGCTCTACCCAATCAGAAAACAGACAAACAGGTACTGTACAGTAATCAACTGATATTTTGAGAAGTGTGATCTCAACTGTGCTTTCCACCTACAGGCTAGCAAAACAAACTTACAAAGTACTTCTTTTTAGCTAAGCACATCCAATTTTAATAGCACATTACCAAAGCTTCATTATCTTGCAGTGAAAATTTAACTTGCAGAGTCAAAGAGAAACTTCTCCTGAGTAGTATAATACTTAAAGTCTTGTATTATTTTGGCTATTTTTTTTTTTTAATGCCCATTAGTAAGCACTACAAGAGTAAGAAACACCAGCTTAGAATTGCTGTGTAAAGGAATACATGTAAAGATGAACGGTATTCTGAAACTGCTTGCAAGACTAAACCCGTACAAGGCCTATAGGCCTTTCTGTACATAATGAAACAAATCAGTACAATAAATGAGATTATTATACATCTCTAAATGTTTGGAATATTAACTGCATATGGAATTTCAGACATTCTTGCATACTTACAGACAACTGACATTTATCACATTAATTTATATAATTTGGGGGTTTTAACATGTAGAGCATTAAAGACAAATTAGATTAAAGATAGGAATTACACTCAGCCATTTCATCTTTTTATAAGGAGGCAGTCATGCGAGACATGCTGTCCAAAGTGTGCGCCCAAACCTGACTGGAAGGTTATATATGAGACATAGTTTCACTTATACAAATTTGAAGAAACAAGTCAAGAAGAGCTTGAGAAGGAGAACTAATTTTTTTCTTTGCTTCCAACCTGTGAAGCCACTGTGATATTTTTGTTTTTAAAGTGGTAATGGCACCATGTATTTCATCAGCATTTAATTCCTATGTTTCTGACAACTGGAACATATACATTTGATCACTGAAATGAAAGACTTCTTTGCTTATCTACTTTAAAAATCTGTTCCTTGCACTGCCTAAGTAGCTAAGGTACCCAGTGTACTTGCTGAGTCACAGAACTTGACAGCAGTTTATATTGGCAATTGAAAGTGTACCTGCCTTTCAGTGTAAAGCATGATGAACAGAGATACAAATAATACAGGTTTGCTTCTCAGCAGGAAAGGAAAGCCAATTAGGTCAGTGATTTCTAACTAAAACAAGAGAAATAAGAGAAGGGAGTCCATTCTAGAATTTGTACAAGTTAGCCAAGTACCTGTTGTTAGTCTGGTTAATTGTTAGTCCGTTGTTAGTTGTTAGGGTGGCTGGACCCTCAAGAGGGGAGGAGTAGTGTGAAAAAGAAAAATATTCATATGCCAGCAGCTGAGTTCCTATTGAATCTCCATCTCCAAATGAATTGTGTTTCCTGTGTTACACAACCTTCAATGGAGGTAGCCAAAATTCAGTATGAACTGCTTCTCATTCAAATCTAATTTACACTTCATTTTCAAACTTGTATTTCTGCTTTATTGTGTACCTCGGAAAGAAAATTTGAGAGTTTTCTTTGCAGGATCTGATAGTCTGCTTACAGACAAAATAACAGTAGTTATGGCATCCTGGAGCTAATCTCTTACAAACACAGTTAGGATTCATCTTGAAGTGACAAACTGGCTGTGAAAATTCCTGGTCAAGTCCAGAAATAACAAATGAGTCAAAATGAAACTCAGTTTCAAGAAGAAAAGAGGAGGGGTGGAGCAGGGCATAGAATACATTGGAAGTATCAAAAACGAATGACGTTCTTGACTGAGGGACCTGAAATAAGGAGCAGAGAGAAGCTTGTCCACAGTGATAGCAGGGAGTACTTTGCCAGTAAAGTACTCTCTCCCCTGCAAATCTGAATGAATTTGAGAAGAGGCCATTTCTAGAATATAGTTATAGCTTGGTGTATCACATACCACAATTAGGACCCTACCCTATAATTTCATACACCCTCAAAATATAATCTGTTTAGTTAGACTTTTCAGAAAAGGGTTCAACGGCACTTAGTGATTTTTACCAATGAAGAACTTCTTGCACTTACGTTTGTTTGAGGAGATGAAGAAAAGCAAGCAAACTGTCACCAAAACAACATTTGAAGAAAAGCAATATACATTCTCTAAAAACACATTTCAGAAATCACAAATTGAAAAAGAAGTTGGAAACTGTTATCTCCCCATAGTATTGCTCGAGTGATTACTGATCTTCCTCATTAAAATCATTATTCTTATTGCTAGTTTAAATTTGCACAGCTTCAGCCACTCTCTCTTTTTCCCTTTTTTCCTATAGAATGGTCTACTAATAGAAACGTCTACCTTGTGCATTCTGCTAATAGACAGCTTGCTAATGGTCTGACTTTTGTCATTGATAAATTAATTTGCTCAAACCTTGGGGTCTTTTTAACA